GGGGGGGGGGGGGGGGGCGATCCCGAGGAGGGGAACCGTTACACCCACACAGTCACTTCAGGCTGTCAGGGCCGTGTTTAAAGAACTTTTTACAGTGACCCCCTGCGCCCCCAGTAAGAAGTCCACTTGACTTTGTGACCAGTTGTGAGTACACACCTGAAGTAAAACTCGTATAAATAGATACACAACTGGAATTAGAGTTTGTAAAATGAGTGTGATACACTCTGACATTTATTTTTTTATGTCATTTTCTTCTATTCCATAAAACAAAATGAAACAAAGATCCCCTGGTTATTTGGACACCACTGAATTGATTCCCTGAGCCACTAATGAGTGGCAGCCTGCACACTGGACTGTCCCTCTTCAGGGGAAACCTTTGCTTCCTCTTGTAGCACAAACTGAACACGTTTCACAATTTCTGTTGCTGATTTCACGTGGTTTTATTGCTCTCCTATGATCCTGACCATTACCATTTTCCTTTCCCTCTGGGAAGTCCAGGGTATTGAGACTGGATCCAGGCTGGCAGCTGGGAGGAAGAGGGGGGGGGAGCAGCCTGCTGGAAGAGGGGCAGCCCCAGGGGGCCCAGGCCTGGCCAGGTTGAAGACCCGCCCTCCTTCTCTCTGGCAGGTGTCGGCAGTGCTCCAGCACCCTGATCCCTGGGGCTTACAGGAGTGGGCCTGAGGAGGGCACCTTTGTGTGTGCCGAGCACTGTGCCAGGCTGGGCCCAGGTGGGCGGTCAGGGGCCAAGCCCAGGTCCCCACTACAGCCAAAGCAACAGCAAGAAGACGCAACAAAAGCAGCAGAAGATGCCATGAGCGTGGAAGGAGGCGGCCTCAGCCCTAGTGAAGCTGCAGGGGCTGAGGCCCGGCCTCAGACCCCCACCAAGCCCTGCGTTCCCGATAAGCCACAGGACCTGGCCAGCCCCCAGGCCGGCCGCCCCATGCCCGCCCCCAGGAAGGCCTTGGAGAGCACAGCCCTGACACCCCCCACGCCCCGGCCCCGGGCCAGTCTGCAGCCTGAGAACTTGGTGGAGCAGGGTGGCAGCGGCCTGGTGAATGGTGAGCAGGGTCTAGCTGGGACAGGCGCACACTGGGGAGTGTCTGGTGTTTGAATGGACGCATGCACTGGGAGTGTGGATGGGGCCACTCTCTGTGCCTGAGAGTCTCTGTGGGGGATAACTCTGTTTCCCAGGATATTAGTTCATGCAACAAGTAATGACTGAGGTTTCTGTGCCAGGCTGTTCTCCATGCTGGGGGAACAGCTCAGGCAGGAGAGATACATACAGATGCTGCCCCAGGCTGCCCCAGGCTGTGTATGTTGAATGTGTGTGTTCTTTTGTGTGTCTTGTGTGCTTCAGTTTTGGGGTGCGTAGCAGGTGCACACTGTGTGTGCCTGTGTCCCAACTGTATCTGGGACTCTTTGTGTCCAGCAGTTTGCATGCTCCTTCCAGGTGACCTTCCTCCCACGCCCAGCCCATGTACTTGTCTGTGTCTGGATGTCTGGCAGGGGAGTGCTCAGGAGCTCAGGGGCTGGGGGCAGGGGACAGGCTAGGATGGGTCCCTGGTCAGGTGGGCCTCTGGGAGCTCTTTTCAGGCTATTCAAGACTGCAGCAGAGACTCCTACCCCAACCCTCATTGTAGGACCTTCCCAGATGAGCTCCCTGGACTTCCATGAGCTCATGCAGACAGGGCTCTTGGTAACTAACCTAGGATGTGCCAGGCAACCCTTCTCATTTGGTCAGAGAAGGCCGTTAGGCTAGGAAAGCCCATAGGGCCTGGGGGAGAGACTCTCTCTGGCTGCTCAGTTCTGCTCCGTGCTCATGGAGGCCTGCTCCGAGCCAGCCCTGAGCTGCGCACTGGGGACAGAGCTACTGCTCAGACCAGTGTGTGCCTTTGAGATGGGTACAGACACAGGGATTCAGTAGAACTAGGAGTCTGTTAAGATGGGGGCAGCAGAGGCCGTTGTGTGATTCATGGAGGACGCTTGGGAGTCAGGGGCCTTCCAGGAGAAGGTGATGCGGGGGCTGTGTTGAGAAAGTTTCCTGTCCATCCTGGGGAGGTGTCTGAGGGGCACTTGGGTTCCCCCTTCTCGACTGAAATGCAAATGGGGTCTCAGATGTCCTGTCCTTGTCCCTTTGACCTTCTGTATCTGTTACCTTTGGTGCCTATCTAATCTCCCTGAGCTCTGGGGTGGTGAGGTGCCCTTGTGCAGGTGAGGTTGCCATGGTCACCTGGAGTCTATGACCTGCCAGGTAGGAAGGAAGGGCACTCCTTGGTGAGGCAGGCACTCTGGCCAGCACCCCCGGGTGCCCTACTCCGTGCCCATCCCACAGCTGCTCGTGAAGGCCTGTCTCACTCTCCTTTCCCATCTAGGAAGGCTGCACGAGCCCCCTGTCCCCAAGCCAAGAGGGACGCCCAAGCTGTCAGAGAGGTACGCTGGCTCTGGGAGGCTTTCAGGCCCTGGTGGTGGGAATGGGGGGGCCCTGGGGTCTGCTAGTGGTGGGGGAAGGCTTCCTGCAGGCATGGAACCCACTCCACACCCTCCCGAGAATGAGCTGGGTTCATTTTTGGGTGGGGAAGGAGTGCTGTGCCCACATCCCCTCTCCCAAGGCTCCCCTGGGAGCCCCTCTCCTGTGAGCACCAGTGCCTGGTGGAGACAGCCGCCTCTGCAGTCCCATCACCTCCCCAAACCTCCACTGCCTTTTAACATGGGAGGCCTAGTGGGAGAATTAGCAGCCCAGGTATAGAAAAGCCCAGAATAGCCCAGCTGTATACTGGCTCGGGTCTTCCACCCTGGGACCCTGCATCCCAGGCGAGGACAGCTATTTCCAGCTGTTCTTTGGAGCTTTGCTTCCCCTGTGTGATGCGTGAGGGCGAGAGGTGGGCCACGGCCGTAATAGTTGTTGAGGCTCCATGAGCACGTGCAGAGTGCCAGGTGCTGTGCCCGCTGGGCCTTACAGTGACCCTGTGAGGTAAGGGTTACTACTGTCCACGCTTCCTGGGTGGGAGACTGATGCAGAGCCAGGTGACTTTCTCAGCGTCACACAGGGAGCCCTGTGGGTCCTTCCCTGGGCTGGGCTAATGGAGGCTGTGTGGCGGGAAGGCTCACCCTCTCTGGGCCTCTCGGGGTCCAGTGGGGATGTGACTGTAATAGTCCGTCTCAGCCTGGGGCACAGACCACCCCACTGTGCTGGGGCAGGAGAGGAGAAAGGCGGTTTCTCACCCATCCCCTTGGAAACGGACTCAGAACTGTCCAGAGAGAGAAGGACCCTGTCCCCTTACCTCCTAATGGTTTCTGCCTCTTCCTGCTGCCCTCCAGGACACCGGCCCCCAGGAAGGACCCTCCTTGGATCACACTGGTACAGGCAGAGCCAAAGAAGAAGCCGGCGCCGCTGCCCCCGAGCAGCAGCCCCCGGCCGCTGGGCAGGGACAGCCCGAGGGTGGAGAATGGAGGCTTGGAGGAGGTGGCCCCAAGGAGCCCGGCGGCGGCCAGCCTGGACCCCAAGCCCTACAACCCCTTCGAAGAGGAGGAGGAGGCGGAGGAGCCCCCCGCTGCACCCAGTCTGACCACCAGTCCTGCCCAGGCCCACCCAGAGTCCACACCCAAGTCCCTGCACCCCTGGTATGGGATCACCCCCACCAGTAGCCCCAAGACAAAGAAGCGCCCTGCCCCCCGAGCACCCAGTGCATCCCCACTCGGTGAGTGCCATCCCTGGTAGTTCTCTTGACCGTTGGGACTCTGGGGTCAGGGTTGGGAAGGGGTGTGTGGTTCAGTAGGATCCCTTCTCAGCTAGGTGCCAGGTGGGTCATGTGTGTCTTCATTTAATCCTGGAGCTAGCTTGTGAGGTAGGCATCATACCCCCATTTGCAGGTAGGGAAACTGAGGCACAGAGAGAGTAAGTGATTAGCCTAGGGCCTCACAGCACTTAAACAGTGGAGGCACAACTTGAATCCAGGCTCTAGACTCCATTCGTTTAACCCTTTGTGACCTACCTCACATGTCTGTTGTGAGAATTCACTGCACTTTCTGGTGAAGTGTTTAGTGTAAGTTGGCTCCCAGGAAAGCACGTGGCAGAGGATAGCTGGCATCCTGCCTAGCTAGTCATTCCCCTCCGGTTGCTGGCAGCCTTGGGCTCTGACTGGCTCGGTGTGACTTGGCCCTTGTGACTTTGAGCAGTTCCTTCCCTGTGTCTGTCCTCAGTCTGCTCATCTGGAAGATGGTAGCAGTGGGCCTGCTCCAGGGCACTGTGTTCCTCTGCCCAGCCTGCCCTCTCTCATCCACGCATGTTATATTTTTGGCTCTCACTGTCTTGCAGTCTTCTTAGGCCCTGGGCCCAGTCACCTTCTACCATGGCTGGGGTCCTGCTGCCTCCAAGACCTCAGGGAGAGCTCCTCAGACTGTGGGGCTGAGAGCATGTTGGAAATGATCAGAAGCAGGTGCTCAGGTGGTCTAGGGCCCCCACTCCTGCCCTGCTGGAGCCCTGGGACCCTCTAGCTGAACCAGGGAGGTGGTGGATGGGTGTGGGATGCAGCCAACAGGATGAGCTGAGTCAGACACAGCTGGGCTCAACTCCAGCATTGCCAGGGCCAGGGCCTTCTCTCTGAGCCTGTTGCCTTATCTGGGAAAGGGAGATGACAATGCTTTCGAGCCTGGTGTCTGTCGCCTGTATGAAGATTAAAGTGGTGCAGGCAGGGCCCGGCCCAGAGCTGGCCGCTGCGAGGGCTGCCCGATCCTCCCTCTCCTGTGGCCCTCCCTCTCTCTGCTCCTGGGCGGAGGGACAGGAGGGGCCAGCCTTGGTTTTGTCTGTGCCCTCCCCTCCCCTGACAATTTGCCATTTATTTATTCATTTTTTAAAAATATGTTTTTATTGATTTCAGAGAGAGGAAGGGAGAGGGAGAGAGACATAGAAACATCAATGATAAGAGAGAATTATCAATCAGTTACATCCTGTGAGCCCCCTACTGGGGATCGAGCCCGAAACCCTGGCATGTGCCCTGAGCGGGAATCAAACCAACTTCCTGGTTCATGGGTCAATGCTCAATCACTGAGCAACAGTGGCCGGGCCAGATTTACCTTGGCCTTGAGTCAGATCAGATATGGGAGGGGAAGTGGAGATGGCAGCCATGCTGGGTTAGAAAGTGAGAGGCAGGGTCTCTGGGCCCTGGCTTCATCTGGACATGGAAGGACATGGGTGTCCAGGGCCACCTACAGATCTGTTGAGAGTAGGCCACGTTAGATGTGACGCCCACTCGCTCATCTTTTGTACAGCTCTCCATGCCTCCCGCCTCTCACACTCAGAGCCACCTTCGGCTACCCCATCGCCAGCCCTCAGTGTGGAAAGCCTCTCATCCGAGGGCTCCAGCCAGACCGCCAGTGGGGAGCTTCTGGAGCCGCCAGTTGTGCCCAAGAGCTCCTCAGAGCCTGCTGTCCATGCTCCTGGCACTCCTGGGACCTCTGCCAGCCTCTCTGCCAACTCCTCCCTGTCCTCCTCTGGGGAGCTGGTGCAGCCCACTGTGGACCAGATGCCTCAAGCCAGCCCTGGCCTTGCCCCCAATACCAGGGTCAGCCTGGGTCCCCAGCCAGCCAAGCCCTGCAGTGGTGCTGCCCCCACCCCTCTCTTGTTGGTAGGAGACAAGATCCCCACGCCTCTCCCTGGCACCTCATCCCCGCAGCTCCAGGTAAAGGTGAGTGCGTCATCCTTGCTACAAGCTACTGTCCTGTCTAGTGGATGGGGGTCTGGTCTCAGGGCAGGAATTTCCAGGGCTTTCCATCTTTGCTGGCCAATTCTTGACTGACCTGGCTGTGTCCATCTACCCATTCACCACTCCATTCACTGAGGCACAGAACGATCTATCATTCCATCCATCGGCCAGACCTCCCACCCATCTCTTCACCTGCCCACCTGCCTGTCCCTCCATGCATTGATGCATCCAGGCACCTGCTTACCTGCCTGTCCCACGCACTTGCTCATTTGGGATCCACTCATCCAGCCACCATCCATCCCCACATCCTTCTGTCCACCCTTCCATTCACTGAGGCCCTATTTATGCCAGAGGCCCCCTCCCCAGCCCATCCTGCACTCTGCCTCCTCTTGGAGGTGGTGTGGGCATGAGATGACCATTTCAGGGAGCTCAGGACCTATGTGGGCTATTTGTATACTTGTTCCAGTTCCACGCCAAGAACCAGGGATCACCAGGGGTCAGGACATTCCTCTGGGCACCTAGTTCCTGAGGGGCCTCTCTTGGAGCCGCAGCCCCTCTGGGCCACCAGGTCCTGATTGGCCACTTTTGCCCCACACTCTGCAGCTCTCTGAAGGCCCAAGCCTCATCCAGCCCCGGGGAGAGTGGCAGGAGAGCTCATTTGGGGCAGCTACGGTCATGGTCTGACCTTACAGAGGACAAGACTGGGGAGACAGCTGAGCTATTGGTTCAGCCCCTGCCCGTGTGCCTTTCAGACATTTAACCTTTCCTGACCTGGGCAACAGCCTCCTGTCCCCCTCTGCTACCCACCTGCTGTGAGACCTGGAGAGGGCCCTGCCCTGACCCTTCCCTGGGCCTCAGCAGCTCTGAGAAGCCCCAGGGTTCCTTGGTGGGAGGTGGGGGAGGGCGTTGACTTTGTACACCCTGTCCCCTTCAGGCAGCTCCTTGGGGGGCGGTGTGAAAGGTTGGTGTGAAGGAACTGTGTGCCTGAGAAAAGGCTGAGAACCCCCGAGGGGCTGGGGCTTCAAGCTGTTTGGCCTTGCTGGGCCCCTCTGAATACTATTGTGGAGGGAGGAGGCAGAGTCCCAAGTAGGCTTCCTTCTGGGGCACCCCCACACCCCACCCTAACCCGAAGATTAGGAGAGAATCACAGAGGCACTGGGGGCAGGAGACTTGTGTGGGTGCTGTTCTGCAAAAACCATACCCTGTCTCCCTGCCATGCCTGAGCTCAGAGCAACTACCCACCTGAGAGAATCTCTCCCTGGGCTGGCACAGGGGAGGTGATCAGGGCTCCCCATGCCTCCCCCAGCTGCTGGGAGAAAGCTGGGTAAACACTCTGGAACACTTCACAGCCACTGTGAGGCCCCTTCATGAGGCCCTGATGACTCCTCTGTTTCCAGTGAGGGAGGGGTGAGGGGTTGGGGGGGAGTTGTTGGAAGCTGGGGCTGCCTGGCTGTGCTGGCCTCAAGGCAGGGCTCTCCCTAGAGGGACAGAAAGATGCAGGGCTCTTGGTGCATGAAGGGGGCCGGCGGAGGATAAGGGTCTTTCCTGGGCAGGGAGGGAGCTACTCTCTTCCTCCACCTGCTGGCCAGATGGAAGGCGGGATCCTGCTTTCGTACTTCCTGACTGGGCCCGGCTGGGGAAGGGGTGGTTGGTTACGAGGCCTGAATGAGCTGCTACAGCTCTTTGTGCCCTAAACTCCATGTCCTGACCACTGCCCCCAGAGCTGATGGCTGCCCTGCCCTGAAACATTCTCAGCCTTGTTTGGGCCCTTGGGAAGTGTGTGACCTTGAGCCAATTACTTAACCTCTGTGAACTTGAGTTTCAGCTGTAAAATGGGCATTACAATACCCACTTTGCGGAGCAGCTGTGAGAATTAGAGGAGAATTACACATGTTCCCAAAGCAGCGACTGCACAGGGAGGTGCTGGGAAATGGGAGTGTGTGTTGGATGACTGGGTGCCTCAGAGATTGAATGCTGGGAGATTCCCTCGATGCCAGGCCCTCCTCCCCCAGTCTAGCCTGCTTTTCAAAGTCCCATCTGCTTAGGCACCCGGGGTCTTACTGCTCCCTTCCCAGACTTATCCTCTGTCATGTCACCCTGCCTTTAGTCTTCCTGCAAGGAGAATCCTTTTAACCGGAAGGCATCACCCACAGCATCCCCAGCCACAAAGAAAGCCACCAAGGGACCCAAGCCAGTGAGGCCACCTGCCCCAGGACACGGCTTCCCTCTCATTAAGCGCAAGGTACCAGCTGGGAGCTTCCAGACTGCCTGGGCCCAGGCCCCCTCCATGGCAGCCTCAGGCTCCCCGTGGGACACTTGGAGAGGATGGGCGGTCTGGGCAGCTGCGCTTGTATGTTCGCGAGGGGGCACTTGGGTGGTCCAGCTGGAAGGTTTAACTTTACAGGGGGAGATTTTGAAAAGATCAGCTGTTCACAAGCAGGAGCAATGGGTGGTGCATTTAACTTGTTACTAATAATAGTTCCAGGATCAAAGCACTCACACTATACACTTCTAGTTAAATAGACTGGAGTGTTCTCAAGTTTACCTCTGTAACAAGGTCACTCTCACAATGTGATACTATTTTTGGAGTGGCAGAGAAGGGGGCAGTGTTGCCACGAGAGGCAGGAAGTGTCTCCCTCTGGGTGTGCCTATTGGCGCTGGAGCCGGAGGCATGGAGGGGTTGTGTCTGTACCCACACCAGCCCTTGCCCACCCTGGGCTCCTGCACCTGGCCCCGCCAGGGTGTGGGATAGAGCTCAGGCCCTGGGCCTGTGGCCGCCAGTCCTGGCAGAGAACAGTGAAGCTCCTGGCAGCAGGGGTGGGCTGTTCTTCAGGTGACCGGGGTGCTGTTGCAGGTCCAGGCTGACCAGTACATCCCCGAGGAGGACATCCACCGGGAGGTAGACACCATTGAGCGCCAGCTGGATGCCCTGGAACTCCGTGGGGTTATGCTGGAAGAGAAGCTGCGCAGCGGGATGAATGGTTCGAGAGCTGCTGGGAGGGCC